AAGCGCAGCGCAGCTGCATCACGTCACTGCTGCTGAGCACCACTGCGTTGAGCCTGGCCACCCAGGAGACGCGCTTGAAAGGAAACCCGTTGCAGGGAACCTGCGGATGATGTGTTAAGTTACCTAAAAAGGAAAACATAGGAACACTGCGCGGACCTGTGCGTCAAGGAAAGCCTGGGTAGCTTGAGGGTTGTGAGTTGACTTTGGGGGAAGATGGCATGGTGGATTCATGACTTGCTGGCTCGCAGGCTTTGGTTTGTGTCCAACTCGCCCTTCCACCGCCTTCAAACAGGCTCAGAACCTGGGCCCAAAGCTGTGTGATACAAAATAGGTGCCTCTCGGTCTGCTTTTCAAAAACAGTGGTCCGCCCTTCCGAGCATGGTCATGGCTCCACGTGGTATCAACGGGTTAGGACTCTCCCCATCGTGTGCTGCGCCAGCATGTGAGTTCAACTCAACAACGGAGTACGCGAGAGCGCGCGTGCGCCTACACACACGCGCACACGCACATGCACACTCGCGCGCGCGCACACACACACACACGTACAAAGCAAGCAACACACCAACGAATAGAAAAGCAAACACAAAAACGAGCAAGGAAGCAAGCAAGCAAGCAAGCAAGCAAACAAACAAACAAACCAGCAAACAACAAACAAACTAAGTAACTGACTGGCTGACTAACAAGCCAGCTAGCTAGCTCGCTAGCTAGCTAGCTAGCCAGCTAGCCGGCTAGCGAACGACGGACAACGGACAAACACGTACGCAGGCAAACCGGAAAATAGCAATCAAAGAAACACAAAACAAGCAAGCAAACAAGGAAGCAAACAAGCAAGCCAGCAAGCCAGCAAACAACCAAGCAAGCACAAACGTCAAACACCCCAGCCTCAGACTCATTGATTGCTTGTTTAAGTAGTTCAAGCTCATACCACTCCCCTTTGGATTTCCCTTTGGAGGTGGACAGGGACTGCTTACTTCACCATGTTTCTTTCCAACCCTCCCCCCCCCCAGGTTGATCAGGGCGATCCTCCGGAAGCAACGAAGGGTCAAACTGCTCGATCAGCTAAGTGAAAATTTGATGAGGATGCTCCAAACACTGGTACCAAGTCTTTGGTTACGCTGCCGCTCACCATCACCCGTCGAGTACTCCTGACTGGTTCAACCTTACAGGGGGTTCGGACATCACATGTTCTCTTCGGATTAATCCAGGGGACGTACTTGTCAGGGGGTCAAGATAAGACTAGTTCCTTCTCACCCAATTGGTAACCTCTCGCCTCCGCGCTCTCTCCTGCTCGGACATCTCGGCTCGGCACACCAGACCTAGCTTCGGAAGAAAGTGCGGGGCTTGGTCTGTTCGCGACGAAAAATGCTTCCGGACAAAGAAACTTGGCCGCCATTCAGAAAAAGGAAAAGCTGCCAACTAAACTCAAAAGATGCCCTTGTTTTTTGGATGCATTCCGGAAAAGCGTGCTCAATTCTGAGCCAGCACCGCGCGCTTGTGGAACAGTTTCAAAAGGGTGACTTCTGCACAAGGAAACCAACGGCCACCTCCCCCAGCCACGGTTCCTAGAACATTCTTACAAGGTGCACGGATTCTAAGCTTTCTCAGTAGGCTCTGAATGGCTCTCCACAAAATTGTGGGTGTTTCAAGAGGGCACCCAAAGGAAGGTCCTGCAACCAGAAAGAGTTCAGTCATGGGTGTGTCTTTTTTGCGGGTACCTTTTTTGGTGGCTTTAAAGGGAAACCAAAAGACAAAGCACAATTTTGGTGGGCTCGGATGGCACATCCGTCAGCGTCCCTCCCACATGCAGCTTGAAGCACCACTCGACTCGGCGGGCAACGTGCGCCGAGCAATAAGCTGCCCTGTGGAATCGCATCGCTCGTAGCCTGAGGCAAAACGGGGCATCTTGTTTGCGTGCGAGGAAATCAGGATTGCTGCCCCGCAAACCACCCTGGTCATGTCCAATGGGTAACATGTGTGATTTTCTGATGGGGAGAGCGGGCTTCCACAAAGAGATTCTGTTTGGACTAGTTGTTGCTTTCCACAAGACCCTGCCAAAGTCCCAGCATGGCCCCGCCTTTCAAGAGATCGGATTTCCGGAGTCTTGTGGATGGATTGAGCTGGTCACGAGATCCCTCGAAATCATTAAACAAAGTTTGACTAATAGGGCCAGCTTCCCCTGATCAGATTCTTCACCCGCCATTTGAAAGGGCAGATCGATTCATTTGGAATATCGTCCTTCTTCCGAAGTTCCACTGCCGTCCGTGTGTCGCGCGCCCATCCAGCCAAGGGTGACGTGAAGCATCTGAGGGTCTTGGGAGCGCAAAATTGAACCAGCAGGTGGTGGTGGAAGCGGCAGTTCTCTTGCCCATGGATCACTCACTGCCAACTCATACGTTGAAGCTGCAACTTGACAGTGGCAAGTGCCAAGTACGGATTTGGCAGCAATCAACCCCTGGTATCACTGGGGGTGTTCCTTTACGCTGAACAGAACTTCTGGTGG